GTTGCCAATCGAAAATATTTATTTAAGGATTCGAAAAAATATGTAGAAATCCTTATATATACATGAAATAAGTTTATTATTACCCTTGCATATGAAGAACACATTACAAAAGGGTTTCAGAGAGAAAAAATTTTAAAAAAAAACAAAATCCTCCCACCCACCTCCCATTTTTTTCAAAAATCTGGATGAAAATCTACTAATTAATTTTAGTTGGCCTTATAGTTTTTCAGATATTAGACAAAAAAGCAAAAAATTGGTAAAATTTGTTATTTAGAGCAATAACTCCTAAAAAAAGTCGTCTGACAGTTAAGAACTGAATGGACAATAGGTAGATCTGATCATTCCAAACATTTCTGCCCTTGTCAGATTTCTCTATTTATAGTGGTTTTCAAGATAATAGACAAAACTTGCATTTTACCGATATGTTCTATTTTTAGCCATGTCTGCCATCTTGGTTGGCAGGCTGGGTCATCGGACACATATTTTGAACTAGATACCCTAATGATGATGGCAGTCAAGTGTGATTAAATTTGGATCAGTAGTTTCAGAGTTGAAGATTTTTGTAAAAGATAACAACGACGACGCCGGACGCAAAGTTAAGAGAAAAGCTCACTTGGCCCGTCAGGCCAAGTGAGCTAAAAAGCATCATTTTTACCAACCCTATAACAGAGTCAAGTTTATAGTACAATTTATCTAACCTATACAAGTTTGTGTTTAATACTTTAATAAAGTGTTGACACAAAGATATATGTCTCCCCTGTCTGCAGAAAATTCAGAAAAAGACAAACTGCTGGACACCAACATTGCTAATTAATTCAAAGATGCTGGACTATGAGTATGACATAGAGGGCAGCATATCAAAATGATTGTCAAACTGTGATGTACTGTTAGTAATGTAACTTTATAAAAAATATCATTGTCTATCATAAGTAGTTTCTATCAACATGATCAAAGTAACTTAAGCAGAAAACTTAACATTGAAAATTGTTAATTAATTGAAATTCATCACTGGACCATGACCTACAGGGGCAGGACCACGAAATAATCGTCAAACTGATATGAACTGATAGTTATGAAACTCACAGAAAAAATCATTGATCTATCACAAGTAGTTCATATCAAACTGACTTAAGCAGAAACCTTAAAGGGGCATTAGCTACGAGATATAAAAAAAATTAAAATATGATTTTTTTTTGTTCAATCATTAATAAAAGTGAAATAGTGAAATAATAATTCGCTTTTAGCAGCCACTTTGGTTCAATTTTGTCAAAATAAACAAAGAAACATTGCTGATGAATTATTCACTTGCAAGTGAATAATTCAACCTCATTAAATCCGTATTCATGTGACCTTCAATTTAACTGGGTTATGCATGTATTCAGCTATTAAAGGAAAACAATGTCAGCATTGAAAGTGAAACAAGGACCTTTTGGTTGACTGATTCAATCCACAAAATATCATTCTTATAAGGTAAAAACGATGATATTTATAAACACTTTTTAACCTTCAATATGAAATCAAACAGACCTAGAAAAATCCAATTGCACATGGTTTCTATCTATTTATATTTGTATTTATATTTAGATCGGGATATATGACCGTTTACAGTTTTAGGAGGTCATCTCGATGATTAATTAGATGACATATTAATAGAGTCCATGCATTGTTAATTGTTTATTTTAGACTTTTTGTAATTTGGATATACGTTTTAGTATGTTATAAATAAAATAGGAGAATTTGAGTTAAATAGGTGAACATGAATTTGACAGCTAATGCCCCTTTAACAATTGTTGATACAGCCAATGACGACTATGCCAGTGGAAAAGCTACAACTTCCACGACTTTCGACTTTTGCCTTAAATCATATAGTCAAAGTCCTTTAACTCTGGAACAACAAAACAAAAATTTCAAAACTGAAAGGGAACTTTCTTCCATCAATCCTAATGTTGTGTTAAATTTTATGAGAATTGGCAAATACAAATTTGAGTTATCGTAAGTGTTGACATATGGACATATGGATGGAAGAATGAATGGAATTCAGAATAACATATATAACAATATATAAATTGTAAAAGATGTGTATATTGCAAGATGAACGAAATTAAAATTACTAACAGAGAACATCAGATGTTTCCTACATCACAGAGACCAATTTTTGGCCGTCATACGAGTACATGGTTTGGTGAATAAAAATTTTAGGACATGTTTGGGCGAGAAGTGAACTTAAGGACACATACCTGTAAGGCCAGGGAAAAATGATTGTTGGTTTCCCCTAACCCGACCAGGTCATTTTTTTTCCCCGACTAAACCTAAAAAAAAAAAAAACAGCCCTGTCTTGTTCCGATCCAGCAATGTTAATCGAATATTTTTTCATATACATTTCAGTTTTGTTGTTTAGAAGCATAACAATGTCAAGGTAACTTTTTCAGCCTTGGTTTCTAGATCGTCAAAGCGCTTAACTGATCGGAAAGATAACAATGATTTAAAGCATTTCGCTCCCGTTGTTTATATCCCAAAATGGCCACCTCGGCACCAAGCGCCAGTATTCTATGAAGATTGAATACATGGACACTAGTTCTTTGTTATTAAAGTCACCTAAGTTTAATACCAGTTGTCAAGTAAATAAATATTTGTTCTACTCACAGTCTATAGCAACACTATTGATACACACAAAAAAAAACCAAAAAAACTCCTGCCTGCCGGGCCTTGAAAATATTTCCACGTTAGGGGAAACCAACAATTATTTTTCCCTGGCCTAAGTTGACATGTTTTGGCCAATAGAAATTGAATGAAATGTTTGCAAGGAATACATTAGACTATCAATGTTTGGCAGATATATGTGAACTTATAAAGGACATGTTTGAGAGAGGTAAAAATGTTTATATTTAAGGGAGCTACCATTTGATTTTTATGGGGGGGGCTAGGATGAAATTTGAAAAAAATAGGCAGGACAGGATTTTTGAGTAAAAAAAAAGGCAGGATGAGATTATTTGCAAAAAAAAAGACAGGATGACAATTTATGTAAAAAAATAGGCAGGACAAAATTTTTCATCCTAGCCCCCCCATAAAAATCGAATGGTAGCTCCCTAAATGCAAGATTGTTGATACAAGTCAAGTATCTTTTAAAGTATCAAGGCCTCTGACATCACAAATGATTTCTCTGCAATGTCCTTTCCCCATTCATTCACCAATAAAGGGCATACGATACAGTAGAGATCCCTCGTTGATTTTGTCTTGATATTTTGATAGAAGGTCAATTTGAATGTGTACTTTTGAAATATGCAAAGAGAAATATATCTTCATGACTTACTTTTTGAGATATTTTGGTTTGAAATTTGCATATTTGAAGGAAAATCCTGAAATTTCATAATTAAGGACTTTTAAGGAAAGTAGCAATACTTTTGAATGAACAGTCATAATTTAACCGTTTTTTTTTGTAAAATATTCCCTTGATCCATGGCAACAACATGCTGTAACAAGTTTAAGGTTTACCCCAATAATAATTTCCAGAATTGAAATTACTATTAGTGAAATAAAGAAGTTGACAATATTTTTGAGTCTACACAGAAGTGCAGAAAAAATTCTATCATTGACTTTTTCTTAAAATTTTGGGGGAGCGTTCTTGAAACAGTACTTGATTGATTGCAAAAGAAAAAACTAGGGGTTTATGTGCTTGTTTTTTTAATAAAAGTCATAAACTTTGATTTTTAATGGCAAGCGTCCCGTTTGCAGATATGGCGTTATATTACGTTGAAATAAGTTTTAATCGCAATCACGTCGTGCACAACTACGCAGTCAATTCAGTGGTATAGACAAGGGGTTTTTCCAAAGCAACGATATTAATCATCAAACTTTATAAAGCTGGTAACTCGTGAAATAGCATAAGATATTTGCCTTTATGAAATGTTACGTAACTTGGACAGAATCTTCTTCATAATCAAGAAAAGCATCTTAAAAAGTATTCTAGTATTACTAAATTACTTTGAGAAATTTTTTCGGAAACAAAAAAGATTAGAATTATTCAAAAGGACCTGACATGACAAACTGTGAAACAATTATAAAGTAAGTGGGATAATACAAAAATAAGGACATTAGGTATGATTGCCAATGAGACAACTATCCACCGTAGTTCAAATGACGAAGATAAAAGCAATAAAAAGTCACTGTACAGCTTTCAACAATAAAACAAAATCCACACTGTATATAGTCAGCTATAAAAGGCCCTGACATGAAAACGTGTGAACACTTTTCTGGTATGTCAGATACCTAATTCCCGTGTGCCGATACTTCGATTTTTGTTTTCTCTCAATATTTACAAGAGGAGATATGCTTAGCACGTCAACGGGTGCGAAATTGTTTTGGTCTATCATATTGGATTTATTATAACTTTATCTTTTTAACTGACAGTTTGTCTTCATACACATATATATTCCACGGTGTTAAATTCTAAAAACACTGTTAAACTCCGCAACTTTTTAATGTACCTATTCAAAGTCAGGAACAGTATTAGGCAATGTTCTCATTTATTCTCAAATTTGCGCAACCGGATTTATGACGTCAGCAGATTTTCCGCAAATGTGACTACAGTTAATGCGACGTTGCGAAATGTGATCGTTCTTATTAGAAACAACGCGAAATTACAACGTTCTGATTAACAACGTTGCAAAAACAACACGAAAAGTTTTGAAAACGTTATTATCTGCCCCTGCTACTGTATGGTATGCCCTTAAATCAACATACTTTCAAAAGGACTTAATATTTTTATTAGTTTTACAATAGAAGGGGTCACATAATTGCTCTTCTCATATAAGTTGTACATCCTACTTTATTCACAACCTGTCCATAGCCATGTGTGATTGTCCATAGCATTTCATTATATATTTAGCAAGACATTTGGTGTAGGTATCTAATTTTTCATGAATGCACGTTCTTTCTGTTTTTCTGGTCTTTTTTGAGATGTATGTTAAAATGATACATGAAAAAAATACTGAAATGCTTACCCCAGCTTACGCCATATGGAAATACAGCCCCATTTATAAATGCTTTTGCAAAATTATACAATGGCTCCAAACCTCTGCTGTCATAATTAATGGCTCCTAGTTTATAAGAAGTATTAGCAGGAAGAGGGATCTGTGCCCAGGTTACATCACTATTTTCATTGGCAGTATTTCCAGCAGAATCAGTCCATGTGGTCCAAGACAATACTGGATCTGCTGTCTTTCCAAAATGAAAGCAGCAAAACCAAATAAATATGGCTATACGTATATATCCTGTTCCCATGTTTCTGTCTTCTCAAACTCAATACTCCTAGATTATATCAGAAGTACCCTTATTAAACTTTCAATATCACTGTCTGAAAAGCAAAATATGATAGATGTTTATTGCTCTAGAGTAAACACACCAAATATGCACAAGTTTGTAAACAAATGCCTCTCAAAATAATTTATTATGCACCTGGTTATATTTTCATCTAATCCCCAGGTAAACAATTAAATTACTATACTATAATCAAATATTAGACAATGTAACCATGGTGTGTCAGTAAATAAATGTATAATTAATAGATGAAACAATGATAATCTAATAAACTATTCACGACATTAAGATCAAATCTTGAACAGTAGTTGAACAGTCATTTGAAGTACATCTGCATAATACAATAATATAGAAGTTATTGTTATTTGAAATGTAGTTCTATTCCATTACATGCAAGGAATATTATATTTGTAAGCTCAGATCAAAATAAACAGCTGCGCCATGAGTGCATGATACGCCCGTCGTCTTGTGTGTGAATTTTTATGCAATAATCATAAATAGTTTCTGACATACGGCGGGACATGCGAAAACCCCCCTTTTTATTACAAAAAACTCAATATCTCTAAAATAAATTTTGAATCAAAACCAAAAAGTATACAGATCTTTACATTAATATAAATAAGAAGTGTGTAAAATTTTAAGCAATAATCATAAATCTTTTTTGAGATACATGGCGCGACATGTTAAAAACCCCTCCCCCTTTTTTTACAAAATACACAATAACTCAAAAATAAAATTTTGAATCATCACCAAAAAGTATACAGATCTTAAGACTAATATAACTAAGATGTGTGTAAAGTTTTAAGCAATAATAATAAATTGTTTTTGAGATACGGCACGACATGTGAAAAAAAACACACACCCGTTTTAGTTACTAAGTCCCGTAACTCAAAAAGTTCTAATCTTATTTTCACCAAAAAGTATACAGATCATTTGACCATCATAAGAAACAAATATGTTAAGTTTCATGAAATTTGGATAAGTCGTTCTCAAGTTACGGTGCGACATGTTTACGCCGGACAGACAGACGGACAAAAGGACAGACGGACAGAGGACGTTTGTATACCATAATACGTCCCGTCAAAATTTTGACGGGATTATAAAAAGCGCATAATTTTTTGTCATTTACTAGACAAGACAAATTTTTAAACAACTTTCCTTGACATGCTTGACAGATGTATGTACTTATAAACTGGACCTTACATAAAAAAAATCTCAGCCAAAGTTTTGCAGCATTTTATATGATCTTTCTGATGAAATGAACATTCAATTAGTATCTAAAGCTGACAACACTTAATTTTTCAAATATATATATATGGTATTTAGAATTTTTCGTAACAATTTTCAGATAATGCTGCAGAAATTAGGAACACTCCATCTGATTGGTAATAAACATGAATCTCCCTAACAAATGCAAGAGATAAAATTATATACACAGATAATGCTAGTGCAGTAAGAACAAGTTCCCCCTGTATTAATACTTCATTTAAATCAAATGAATACATTAATCCAAGTACACTATGAAGGGCCCCATCCTTCCCATTTGATCACAACGCCTTGTAAAAAGTGTCCTGTGTATTCGTGACAACTCTTTATTTATAAATGTGAACAGGTGATACCAGAAAAAGTTAACAACTGAAGTTAAGAGTCATATTTCTTAGGTTGCTATCACATGGTTGGAAAAAAGATCTAGGACCTTATTCACAAAGTATCTGTAAAGATACTTTCTCCGTAAAACATTGCGATATGGTTCAAGAATTGAAAATTTCATATTCAGAAGAAATTTTACACCTATAAATGTTGTGGAATATATCTGGTAATATTTGAGGAATTTTTTGGGACATCAAGACTAAATGGTATAAGTTGCGGAATCAGGTACCTTGACAAACTTCCAATTTATTTGCATATATATATATATATAAACAAGTCTAAATTGAAAACAACGTTCAAACCTATGATTGCGTTGGATAAAAACCGCAATTTTTATACGTGTGCATGCAAAACAAATTTCTTGGTAGAGTGGTCTAAATACAGCACAAACAACATTTTCCAAAAGACCAAAAATTGAAAAAGTATATTTTAACAAAACGCATTTGACTAGCAGGTCGAACAACGGATGTTTTTAAACCCTGCTGACTGCCATGGCGATTGCCAAATAAACGGATCACCAGATGTAAAAATGGATCTTAATTTATAAATTAAATATAAAACAGAAAACAATAAACTTGCGGAAAAGATGGTATACCGCAAACATGAGGTGCAAAAATTTGTACACCATATCCGGATTTCGACAATTAATGTCTCTTCAGTGATGTTAGGAATCGAAACGGTATTTGGAAGGCCATATAATTTACCTCAATTTGGGATTGACTCTTGAATTTTGAAGAGTCAAAATAGGATGAATGGATCATATAAGCCCGAAGGCAAATATAATACAAGCCCATACGAAAAAATATAAACAAGTCTAAATTGAAAACAACGTTCAAACCTATGATTGCGTTGGATAAAAACCGCAATTTTTATATGTGTGCATGCAAAACAAATTTCTTGGTAGAGTGGTCTAAATACAGCACAAACAACATTTTCCAAAAGACCAAAAAGTGAAAAAGTATATTTTAACAAAACCCATTTGACTAGCAGGTCGAACAATGGATGTTCTTAAGGGCATACGATACAGTAGCAGGGGCAGATAATAAGGTTTTCAAAACTTTTCGTGTTGTTTTCGCGACGTTGTTAATCAGAACGTTGTAATTTCGCGATGTTTCTAATAAGAACGATTACATTTCGCGACGTCGCTTTAGATGTAGTCACATTTGCGGAAATCCACTGACGTCATAATCCCGATTGCGCGAATTTGAAAAAAGTACCTGCAATGAAAATCGGCCAAATCACGAGAATTGTTATATTTATTCATTAATAAGGAAGTCAACAATATTAACTTCGAATGGGAAAAAATTCAAATCCACATTCTTAGTTTTGTATGTCTGTTATTTCATATAGGAAATGAATGAGAGATATGAAAAACATAAGACGTCGATGAGAGAGAAACCGAACTACACAAAAACATAAGTAATTTATATAGTAACTTCACCATTTGGCTAACTCTAAGTCGTAATGAGAATTGTACGGATAAATTTAGCAGAGACTATAAACAAAATGCCAAAAAAACGTAATAAATAATGACAGCGCATCTTAGTGTTCCTGACTTTGAAAAGATACGTTAAAGAGTTTAACGGCATTTTTAGAATTTAACCCGTGGAATATATAAGTGTATGAAGAAGAATTGTCAGTTAAAATGACTCAGTTTTAAGCCCCGTATTATAGACCAAAAACAAAAACGCACCCGTTGATGTTCTAAGCATATCCTCTATGTACATATTGAGAGAGAGAAATCGGCACACAGGAATTAGGTATTTGACAGACCAGAGTTGCAACTCATTGATGTTAAGTTACTGACCAAATACGAAGTCTTTTTGTAAAGTAGTTTCTCAGATAAGAAACAAAATATTTGTTGGACCGGACAAACAATGTGGTTGCACTCACTCCTAGATTGAAGGTATAATACAGACAAGTAATTCAATGATTATATGTACCGTAGTAAAAAAAAAATACCCTGAAGACAAGCTTAGGTAACTTATCTATTGATACAGAATCATTAAAATATATGCTCTACTATCGACTGCTGTATGAAATGTTATACTACACTGTAATGGACTAAGCTGACCCGATTTAATGTGGGTATGATTTTGTGTTCATGTAATCCCTATAGAGTAGGTCGTTAGTTTTCTTGTTTGAATTATTTCACAATTTCGGAGCTTTTTAAAGCTGACTATGCGGTGTGGCTTTTTCTTTTACTTTTTTTTTTGTGTTGAAGGCCGTAGGGTGACCTTTAATTTTATATCATCCCCCTTACTTTATAATTGTTGCACATTTTGTCATGTCGGGGCCTTTTGAATAATTAAAACTATGTTCAAGCTGTGTTGTCTACATGAATTGTATGACTAATGTCGGACAGAGATGCAAATTAATTTTTTTATCATATATATCTGTTTTGTTTCCGAACATTTCTTTTCTAAAAGTAATTTACTAGAATACTTTTTCTATCCGAGTTTCGTAACAATTCATAAAGGTTTGGCAAATATGATGCTATTACGAGGAGCCAGCTTTATTAATTTTCATGATTAATATCATTGGTTTTAAAAAAAACACCTTGGCTCTACCACTGAAATTGACAACGAAGTATAGTGAACGGCGGGAAAGATATCACGACGTTATTGCGAATAAAACTTATCTCAACGTAGTTTGGCGCCTTATTGGCAAACGTCCCGTTTGCCAATAAAAATTAAGGTTTATTGCTTTTATTGAAAAAACAAGCACATGGACCCCCAGTTTTTTCTTTTGCAATCGATCAAGTTCTGTTTCAAGAACGCTCCACCAAAGTTTTAAGAAAAAATCAACGATAGAATTTTTTCTGCACTTCTGTGTAGACGCAAAAATATTTTCAACTTCTTTATTTCACTTGTATTAAAAGAATTTAGGATATTATTATTTATTTCATCCATTAACTTGTTACAGCATGCTGATGCCATGGATCAAGGGAACATTTTACAAAAAACCCGGTTAAATTATGACTGTTCGTTCAAAAGTATTGGTACTTTCCTTAAAAGTCCTTATTTATGAAATTTCAGGGTTTTTCCTTCAAATATGCAAATTTCGAACCAATTTATCTCAAAAAGTAAGTCATGAAGGTATATTTTTCTTTGCATATTTCAAAAGTACACATCAAAATTGACCTTCTACCAAAATTTCAAGAAAAAATCAACGAGGGATCTCTACTGTATCGTATGCCCTTAAACCCTGCTGACTGCCATGGCGATTGCCAAATAAACGGATCACCAGATGTAAAAATGGATCTTAATTTATAAATTAAATACAAAACAGAAAACAATAAACTTGCTGAAAAGATGGTATACCGCAAACATGAGGTGCAAAGATTTGTACACCATATCCAGATTTCGACAATTAATGTCTCTTCAG